TCACAAAAGTTTGATTTACTTGGACTTAGCGTGCGTTGTTTAAGTGTTCCCTTTATTTTTTTGAGCAGTGTATTTATACACGTTAGTCAGTAAATCAACTTTGTAGAAGACATTATGGACAGAATCCCCTCATCTTCTTCATCTCAGCTTTTTTTATTTGCTCCACAGGATACAGAGATAAGACTAAACTACAGCACCAGATCAGTTTGATCATTCTACAGTAACTGTACTTTTTAACTACCAGTAAAACATTATTATCTCTGCTGTTTCGCTTTTGTTAAGTAACTTTGGGAGCCTGACAAGTTGATGAAATTAATTTGTTGGGCTATTACAGCATAGGAGCCTGCAGTAGGCATACATGCTCTTGTAGCTTGTTGCAACCATCTGATATAAAACAGTGTTACCCTGWAAATAGGCGTCACCTCTCTGATACAAGTCATGACTGAGTTATCTGCTGGATAACATGTGTAACCAGTCTTCAAATGTTTGATTTTTTAGACAAACCTGCAGGTTTACAGGCATTTCCCCTCAGCCAACGTACACAAACTAACACCTTGGCACAACAGGTTCAGTAACCAGAAACTTTAGGAACAGTGTGATGGAAAACTGTGGGTTTGAAAGCTTTTCAGGACAAATGAAATACACAGGATATCTGCAGGTTTTAGCAAGTCATATTTAAAACTATAAAGATCTCTTTAATGGCACCCTGAATTAAATTTAAGACAGAAAAAACTATAAATATAAGCCATGGGGGATTTTGCTGTCAATGCTGGCTGACCTAAATAAAGTTTAGGAAGAAAAAAAACTATGTGCAAAGCAGCTCATGTTTAAATCGCTCCAACCAGAAAGATCTGCCCTCTGAGACTCTTGCGTCAAAAATAGACTTCAAACTTTAAAACTGTTTTTAAATTGTGTTGTTAGGCCAAGTAGAACAGAAGTTATGATAAAAGGTATATGCCACATTTTTTAAACGACTCTTGCTGCGYTGAGTCGTGAGGAGAAAACGTGAACTGTGACCTGTTGGGAACAAAAATAAATAAATAAAAAAAAACAAACATCTCAATCCACCATTTGTTTCCTCCTCTTGGGACAAAAAAATATTAAAACCATCCAGTCTTTTTTCTGACCATGGCTCAAACAAAAAGGTTCAGGACGAAGGAACAAAAGGAACAACTTGTCTCTCACCATGAGAAACAGGATCTGTGGAGACGCACTCTGTCCGACCTGCAGTTTGGTCATGAGTGCAAGTTGCACTCATGACCAAACTGCAGGTCATGAGTGCAAGTTGCACGTCTGTAAAATAATGACGATGCTCTGAACACAACAGTTAACACAAAGTTAGACTTTTAAAACCTGGGCAGGTTGGGGCTCAGTTCTAGAAGACGAGTGGAAGTAACGGTGAAGGAGTTCAGGTGTCTCCTCAGCTGCAGTGAACTGCTCACATGCAACCACATGTTTAATACTTGGACTAACAATTTACTACATGTACCCGTATCGAACCGTTCAATACACACTTGTATCGAACAATACAAATTTATAAAATTTATTTTATCAACTTGTCTTCTGAAGATGGTCTGTGTTGAAGGATCAGTGATCTGTGTTCGACTACTCCACCTAGGCTGCATTGTCGAGTGCAGATCCACCAAGAAACTTGCTGTTTCAGCAACATTTAATTTAAAAACTGTACTTTTGAGGTTAAACAAATGTTCATAATTAATTTCAACAAATTACAAGTTATGAAAGCCATAGAAATTTCTCTATTTTGTTTCGAAAAAATMTCKAAMYGTGAGACTRAAGTATAAAACTGATCCGAATTGTGAATCTTCTCTATTGTTGCTCCCCTAATAATTTTACCTTCATGTGGGTCGGGGTTTACTCCTTGGAAAAAAGTCCAATAACTGAGCGGAATCAGAACCGCAGGTGAAATAATGAGTCTGCAGGACCCACCCTGCTCTGCTCTGATTGGTTAAAASTGTCTCTCTGGCTCTTTYTATTGGCTGAAAGCAGCATCAGTAAATCCATCACAACAACACAAGTTGTGTATCTTTTTAAAGGACCCCCTGAATACACACAGCCTCTTTTCAACTGAGATGGTTCCAGTTCTGCAGAAAGTCTCACCTGTCCATAAGTGCATCTTCCAGCAGGGGGGTGACAGCGTAGATGTAGTCCTTGCCCATCTCTCCGATGTACTCAAACAGGAAAGAGAGGGACTTGAGGACACCGTTCTGCACGTTGAGTTCAGGRACTCTGTATTCGTTCATCAGGGCTGGCAGCACCGTGAACGGAGAACACGTTTCAGCCACGATAGCGATGGCCACGGTGGTGCAAACTCTGTTCTGACGCTCCTGAACCTTCAAGTTGTTGAGCAAAGTGGCCAACACGTCATGAGGCCTGCGGGGAGAGATTAGAACCAAGAATAAAGCAGATGTTTGTGGAGCAGGGATCAACTCAGGTCAAACATTACAGATGCTCACCCAATAGCTTTGGCGATGTAACCAAACGTRTTGACTGTGGCTCTGCGGATGGCCTTTTTGTGAGCTTTGAGAAGCTCCAGGAGTTCAAAACAAATCCTCATCCACTCCCTGGCCGACACATATTCAGCTCCCCTAAAAACACAAACAGAGTAAGATCCACTCAAACTATTAAAACAAATAAAAACTAACAGATCTGAGGAGTCCGGTTCTACTGACCTGTCAGCAATCCTGCCCACCAGATCAATGCAGTTYTCCTGAACTTTCTCATGTCTGTTTTTCAAGATGGGTGTCAAACGAGGAAGCAGGTCTTTGATGGGCGGAGTCATCTTGTGCATGCCTGAAATAAAACCMAAAATYTGAATGAGAAACTACACATGCATGCATTATATTGTGGGGTAACAACTCCATCATTACTGTAACTGCCAACATACCGATGACGTTAACGATGGCTTTTAGTGCTCCCAGGATGCTGCCCAGCACTTCAGGGTACTCCTCTCCCAGGTACTCATACAGCACCACACCTAAGTGACCCATCAGTTTCTCCTGCAGGACAGACAACAGAAACAAGGATCAGTTTCAGTCTTCAGTCACAGGTGTAGGTCTCTGGTAGTGAGTCTGTTACCTCCTGACAGGTCTTCATCACCACTGCTGTGCGAGAGATCAGGTCTGCTGCCTGCTGACGCACTTTAGCTGACTTATTGTTGAGACGCCACAGCACCGTACCGCAGATCTGGGGCAGGTAAGGTTTCACACGCTTCCCAAGAGCRTTCACAACCGTACCGAAACCATTCAGCATGACGGAGTCCTGCAGACAGAYAGAAACAGGAAGTTATCCACTGGGAGAACAAACGTCTGAAGGAGAATTGGTCTGTAACGTTCCTCTGGCTCACCTCTGTGGTCTGTTCCTGAAAAGCGTACAGGATGCCGTCGATCAGCTGCTCCTCCAGCTTGTGGTCGATGTCGGCTGCACCCAGGTTCCCCATGATCTTTTCAATGGTCTCCATCACCATCTTCCTGTACTGCTCTGCCTCGTCCTTTAGATCGTCAACAATGCGAGAAATGATCTCTGCTGCTCCCACTTTGTTGGCCAGCTCCACTGTGGTGTCCACCAGCTTAAACACAAAGATACAACAAACATCAGCTGTGTCTTCAAATACCACTCATTTCTAGGGCTGGGTTAAAAAAAATCTATTTAATCGATCTGAATCGATTCTCGTTCAAATTTGGGAAGATCGATTCATAAGTTGTGAGATCGATTTTTTTCCCACGGGTGTTATGTGCGATGAAGCTGCGCGTTTCCGTGTTGTGTCACTATT